GAGGTACTTAAAGCTCACAGAACTCCTTTTTTCTTGTGTTGCTTTAGAAGCAAAGTCATGAACCACACTGGGCACTCATTAAACTGAGGAACAGGCTGGCTAGGGTGGACGGCCAGAAAGGCCACACCTTTAACCACAGAAAGCAACACTCCTTTTCAGATGGAATTGGAAGGCTCACGTGAACTGTTTTGCTTATGACCTATGCTGTGCTAGCTTTTAGTGCCCAGTCTATTAAAGGAAAAAGAAGGTTGTCAAGAAAAAGAAGGTTACTGGTATAGGTAAATATTAAAAAATAAATAAACCAAAACAGAGTTTTAGTTACTAATTTTAAATCTTTTTGGCATAGCAGATAGGTACATAGCTAAAGATGCTAGGATAATGTCCTTTACTCCGGCATAAAGCTATGAAAATGGAAACATCAGCATCTTCACTTGTGAAGAACTAGGGCATAATTTTGACAATTAAGGCATAATTTTGACAATTTAAGTCAGATAAGACATCACGACAAACTCTTAAAAAAATGGCCACACTGTGGGTGAAAACCCAGGACATCTTTGATTTTCCAGAGGTCATTAATAGGTATAGTCCAATTTGAGTCCCTACGAGCAGTGGGGTAGAACAAAGCCAAGAAATTCTAAATCACCATTTCAGGTACCCTAGAATGTCAGGTATAAAAGTTCAAAAAAGTTAGAAAAACTGAGCCATATAAGAACAAACTTTGGAAACCTTAAGCCTTCTTTTCTTCTAAACTTGACATTGTCTGCAGGTAGTAGGCCTGGTAATTGGGGGTTTTCTTCCCTCTTGCTGCTGGCTAGTTTGATTTTTCTTTAGAGAGCAATTTTGTTCTTCTCTGTGCGTTGTGTATTTTGTGGTTTACGGTGGAGTTTGTCACCCAGAGACCAGTGATGAGTCACAGCCTCAGCTCCAAGGGGCTTGCTGTAGGTCTTAGTGGCTTGAAATGACACATCATCCTGACTCTCACTTCCATGAAAGAAGCATTAGAGTTGAGAAGATAAGTAACAGGGACACACATGTGGCTAATAAATCTGGAACAAGCTGTTCTTGAATTTTTTAGCTGTTAAACCTTATTTGAAAGTTAGTGGCATAAAGTCAGGAATTACACCATGTGGTCAAGTTCCTCATCCCTACATTAAAGAACAAAGTACTGGTTTTGTGACTTACTTGAATTAGCTGAACCGTTCATCACTTAAAAAAAAGTATTGCTAGTGCCACCTAGTGGAACTATTGTAAATCTCACAGCCTTGAGATGAATACGTAAAATCAAGGTATTTTCTGTGACTGGGACTTACGGTTGGGAGATAGTTATGATGGTTGTCTTTCCGTGAAGTCTGTGATGTATGTTTTGGCATTTTTATTCTGACATGAGGATGTGGATATCCAGGACGCTATTTTTAATTTAACACGAAAGATCTCGCAGGATAATTTCAGGGGCAAAATTTGTTATACTAACATAAGGTCTTGTCGATTGCTCCTATTTCAAAAACGTTTGGACTATTGGTTCACTTTCAGGGATTTTTCAAAAGTTTCATCCTCATTATCCAATAAAGAGGCTATTAGCTGCAATTCAACTTGAGGGCAGTGCATTTGCCTAGGACATTTGCTCTGGTAAATGCGCTCCAACATTTGTGGACATAGTATTACTTCTCATAAAACATTCATTTGGTCTCCTCACATAATTTGTGAATAGAATAACTGTTTTTTAATTGTGTAACATATTTCATTGCAGATTCTATGAGGACCAACTGCTCAACTCATAATGAGCTCTTTTTAAATACCACCCTCACTCCCCATTGGTAAGCTCTAAATTGACATTTAATATAATTTGAATTAAGTGTTCTGGCCATAGTGGAAGAACACAAATTCATATAACACCAATCAGATAGGGAATTTAGAATTAATATTGGGGCAGAGATGGGAGCCGGGAAATAATGCTGACTATACACCTCTATCTAGAATCTATCTATCTATCTATCTATCTATCTATCTATCTATCTATCTATCTATCATCTACCTATACATCCGTCTATGAGAAACTATGCATGCAAATGATAAACAATAATGAAAACTTTTCCAAAATCAAGTTAAACATTTAAAAATAAGAATAAAAGAAAGTAAGTGAGGTTCCATGTTCAGCAGTGTTTGGAAAACCTTGTTCAACAAAGCTAAATATCTTCTTTACCACAAGACAACTTGTTGCCTTTAATATAGTATGCACTTGAATGCACTACGAATCTTCTGGAAGAAGATGTTGAACAGTATTCCCCAAGATCTTACCAGGAAAATTTGAGGCCCCATTAACACCCATGTAATCTCTGTCAGAAAAGATATTACAACAAGTGCTCTTTAGACACTCCCCAAGAGGCTGTGGGAACTGAGGGACCTGAAGCGCTTGTTAAAAAACAAAGATTTCTATGTTTCAAGCTAGAGTTTCTCATGCGGTAGGTCTGCAGTGACACAAAAGGTACATTCCTAACAAATTCCGAGGTGATGCTTAAAGCCGTTGGTCTATAGAACACATTTGAGAAAATGTTCTAAAACAACCTTTCCTATGCAGAGAAGAAATAGAAACCATCCACCTGGAGTCTTCCTGACAACTTAGTCATCCACTTGAGACTAGCACTGGGGACAGTGAGTGGCCTTTGACCACACCAGTACAATTCACTGCCAAGCAAGAGGTCTCTTCACTGGGGAAGCACATCCCCAGTGCTCTTACAGAGACAGATGCTGATCTCTCAGAATAATGTGGAAAAAGCATCCATATATTCTAAAAAATTAATAAATGTTTCCATCAACTGACTCAGTTACCAAGAACTAGATATTCACATGCCAATCCCTAGAATGATCCATGTTATTTTTGTTTGTTTTCTGTTTCATCAATTTATATTTGGCATTGAAAAGATAGGGAGAACATGGTTGAATCTAGGGGGTTCCCTGGTACAATTTACTCATGCCCGTTCTGCTAAAATCATTATAAAACACAACCATAACTCTTTACTGGACTCCAACAAGTCCACGAGTCTG